CTGTGTTTTAGGATGGAGAGAACAATGCTTTTATTGCTTTGAATAAATTCATTAACCCGTAAATTAATAAATAATTATGATGTCAAGAAAGATGAGGAATTGGATGGAATGTATTTTATATTCTATTTTCTTGCAAAATACAGACAAATCCACACTATTCAACAGGTATGTAATGATAACAGTATATTGAACTTAAATTCGAGATTGCCATGCATTAACAAAGGTCCAAATCTGCTACTAAATTTAACAGCTAGAAAATCGACCTATTATTTGCCGCATTCCCATTGGCTTTTGGGGATAACTGATTGTTAAATGTAAATTTATAACACAAATCAAAATACATGATAGTTGACCTGTTTTCTGTGTACAAAAGCATCATGTTGGAATCAAGAAGTGGTCTTGTTTATAATACAGTCGAATTTTCACGATTTTATTCAATATTTTAATAGAAGTCACTGATATTCTGGGACCTTTGTCAAATTGCATTTCGTTAAGGTATTTTCCCATTGGTCCATAATATTTATGTTGGTGAAATCGGCCCTAAGAGTATTAAATAAGGCTTTAAGCAGTTGAAACAGTGTTTGCGCTACAATTTGTATGCACCAGATCAGTGCAAGATTAGAAACGTACATCGAATCGCTAGAACTGGTTTATATACCTATCTACCTAACAGTAGTGGAGTAATACAGTGCTAATACAACAGGGTTATCAGAAAGGATCAAAGGTTGCTAGGCTTCGCCTTTCCACTACTGCTAGTAACGGTCCTACTATATTATGTACTTTTCGCACAGATAACACTAGTCACTAGTATCTCCCAGAAGGTTTACGCTATAAGTGAAAAAATGGGGTAAGATCAATTTCAATCATATACGAGTACTTGGTTGGTTTAATTTTGAAAATGGATAGACGTACAGTGAACGGACAGTCTGACCGATGGAAATCAATTAATGTGGGTAGTAAAACCGATAGTAAGATGCATTGTGTATATTTGCACGCTCAAGAAGGCATGTATGTACTGCAAACATTCAAGAGGTTTCCGCATGTATCAAGTTATTAGGCAAACAGAAAATGCTTTCACTGAAGCCCAGCGGAACTCAGTGATAGTTTAGCTCCACAGGTCACTGACTACTTTTACTATCGGTGTACCGGAATGCAGTGCAGTAACACCGAGTTCAAGCACCCTGCTACGAACTACATCACGATACATGCCACCCTGTGATGTGCATTACTTGGAAAGCAACCCAGCAGAATTACAAGAGTCGTTGACAGTGAGATAACATATGTTGGCTACTGTAGCAGAAGGAAGATCTAGGAAATGCCGAACTGATCTACTGTCAAGCAGAAAATCTCATTAACTTCAGGAACAGGTGTCTATGCGAGGTAAGCTGGCTATCTTCTTTCAAACAGAAACTAAATCAATGATGAAGTACAGGTATAACCAGAATTCACGTAGATCTGTAATACAATAAATATGATGTATATAAAACATATTGCCTTAAAATCATTGTGACAAACCAATAAGGTAATTATTTGATGGATATCATGATATTTGGGAAACATGGTTAGAGTAATGAGGGAGCTAGCTGATGAATGTACAAAAAAGAAGATCATCTCTCCCTCATAGTCGAGTAAGCACGCCATAAGGTGGGAAAGAGGGTATTAGATTGAGGAGACCTTCAAGAGGACCTTCATAACTATACACAGTAGAGGCATTAGGATTGAGTGGAAAAGAACTACTGAGAAAGAGCGTCTACAGAAGGATGAATAGGACTCGCGTGTAGATGGTGCGTCAACCAGATATTTTCGGTTTATTTCCAGACCTAACGATGTATTCACCATAATTGAAAAAAAGTCGAACAATTAATTGTAAGTGAGGTATAGGGTGGACGCATTTGACGCAACGTTTATTCAAGAGACTCTGATGACGTCGTGTTAATAGAGTATCTAGACAAACTTTAACCATCGAATCCTTGGTCAATTTGAAGACGAAATTTCCATATGAACGTAGGTCCGCAACGGCTTTGTTTTCAAGTTAGAGCATATTAGCACTAAAAGAAATGATATTGTTCTAAAAAATTACAATAGAATGGAACGTATTTTATTTTAATTAAGTATGCCCTGTGGTGAATATAACATGATTTACAGTTGTTTTCATACCCTCCTTGTACATAGATACGGATAATGTAACCCAGTATATTTTGAAAATATAGCATGAGATTGATTTGTTTTGATCGCAATACTTTTAATATTATAGTCATGTCTGACTCTACAAAATACTCTGGGAAATTAATCGATATTTTCTATTGTTGTCGATCTATTCGAATGTTACTGTTCAAAACTATTGACCTTCTAAATAATTTCTTTTTTCCAAAAATACAGGATAATAATATTTTCATCCACGTTCATATTGAGCCTCAGCAACTTGTAAAACATGCAAAATAAATACGTTTCATTATTCATAAAAATATTTGGAACATTACTCGTATTTCTTTAGTGGTAGTGCTCTAGCTCGAAAAGAAAGCCGCTACGGACCCATGTTTATATGAACATTTAGTCTTCAAATTGTCTACATACTTTATTAACACCTTATACATCACATTTGTGTTTCAACGGCAAATGTTTGGACTATGTATGTGAATCTCACATCATCTATATCATAGGTAATGTTACTGGGATAAGACACTTCTTAAAAAAGAACGTATTTCGTACATACGAGTACCATACCAGTGATGATGCCTCCACTGCCATTATCCTAGGATCCAATAGCTACCTTAAATTTAGTTATGGTATAAAAAAGCTAAAGCAATGTTTTAAATACTCCTATTCTATAAGGCATGCGCAAAGGTATGTCTGCTCCTTTGCCAGCCAATCTACTAGTGTCGTCCGGCGATCGCATGAATAGCGAAACTCGAGACATGTAGCCGTGAATGTATTATTTAATTGGCGTGTTTTGAACTTATCAGCATTTAAGCTGGTCAGCATAGTATTACCGAGATCTAAAGCTTCTCCATAATAAAACGTCTTCCACGGATATCAAAGATGCAACATTTACAATACCCTTAGCTCATACAACCACCAGAAACTTACAAAAAAAATTCCGAAAATTGGCACGAGTCTCTGAAATGTCAAAAAGTGGAGTTTGAGTAGTAAGTAATATAGTAATATTTATTTGTCACCAAAATAGACAACCATTACACAGAATTTTATAGAGGACAAATAAATGAAGAGCCCGCAGAAGGGTGGCCCTTGTGCGCGGGTAAAGGAAAACAGAAAATACTTATATACTAACGATGACGTAACACAATAAAATCCTTTTTTTTATTCTAATTAACAAATGAGTGATGCATATGGATTTAATTGAGATTCCATATATGTAAGTGAAGTATGGATTGTGCTCATAGAATATGGTATATCAGAGGAAGTACTAACCACTAAAGGATAACCTGTGCGTGGCCATTACATCCAACTGGACCAAAACTAAACTCAAGGATTTTGAAATACAACACTACAGATAATTTAAAATGGGCCGCTAAGGCTTAATGTCTTAACTAAACTAGCGGCTGTTCTATCTATATCTATTTTTTCGGTCAAATCACAGACCGCTAAGGCTAAATAGATCTACACTAAGTATAATATATGAAGGCTTAAAAAGTACTGGTTAGGAAATGGAAAATTTAATCTGAGAATGACCTACAACTTACAATGTATAGCTCGTGCCTTCTATGTACATATGGATTTTAACTCTTGGGACCATGTGCAGCCAGGCTTTTATTTGTTTTTTAAATGAGTTTAAATTATTTAGTTTTTTGTAAGACACTGGGATGGTATTGAAAATTCTTGGACAGAGAAAAATCCAGGACCTTTGTATGAGTGTTTTCTCCGGCTTTGGGACTACATTCTGAGACAGCATTTTCTGACGGGTGCCATAGCAGTGTTCAATTTGCTTCAATGAGGACCGATTTTTGTACTGAAAAGTAATGAGATTGTACATATATAACTGTCTGACATCAAAAACATTAGCCTCAGCAAACAACTCGTTGGGAGGATATGTCTTTCTTTTTTTGTATATCAGCTTAAGTATGTATTTTTGTACGCATTCGAGATTTCTGAGGTGACTTGAGGCCACAGCTCCCCATCCAATGATACCATAGTTTAAATGAGACTGAACAAGTGCAAAATATAATGTTTTTAAAGATTTCTCAGTCAGTAATCCTATTAGATGTTTAAAGTTTGGTAACAGCATTCTAATTTTTTTCACGGTGTATTTATTCTATATGCTTCGTCCATTTCAAGTTTTCATCGAGGATAATGCCTAGATATTTTATGTCACTGGTTCGTTTGATAGTGATTGTGTTATTGGAACTTAGATTAATGTTTAGAGTGTCGTACTCTGGCAAGTGATTTTTGTAGGAAGCAAAGGGGACAAAGTGTGATTCTTATGTTTTCGGTTTTGACCACAGCTGCGGCGGCACTGGATTGATCTTGAAAACTTACAAAGCTTTTCCGTCCAGGGCAAAGTTGTTAAAATGTAAATTGTATCAAAATTTCATCTAACTCCGGACAATACTTCCACTTTATAGATGGGCCAATGATCAACGGGCAGACAGACAAACACAGTGACGGAGACAGACGGGCAAACCGACAGAAATGAGTGACATAGTATCTCATTTTTAGAAGTCTGCCTGATATACAATACTAGTCGTCAACTTTCGAGTTAAGTAAAGAGCACAACAGAGAGGAAGCTTAAAAGAATTTTATCCTCGAATACCCTGCTCGGGGCAAAGAAAAGATACCCTTGATACCTGTGATCAAAAAGTGAGATGAAATTGTCATTTAAAACTCCCGGGTATTAGGAAGGCAGGTCATTCTTTTTTCCCAGGCAGGTAGGACTGTCTATAAGATTTTGCAAGCGTCTGTTTGTCAAAAGGTTTAACCATCTCCGAGTTACACGTGTTTTTGTAAACAACCACATGTGAATTTTTCGATTTTTACAATGGGTGATTTTTTTGAGCAAAGAACATTCATCAAATTTTGTTTGCGGAACGAATATTCTTGTGCGGACACGTTGAAAATGTTGCGGAAGGCCTTTGATGATCAAACTATGTGGTACAATGAGTTCAAAGCGGGCCGAGAATGCGTTGAAGACGAACCGCGCTCTGAACGACCATCTACGTCTACCGACGAGGACCACGTCCAACAAATCAAAGATTTGGTGATTGGAAATCGATTAACAATTAGATACCTCGCTGAGTGTTGGAATATCATTTGGCTCAGCCCAAACCATTCATTGAGAAGGATGTTTTTGTGTCACAAGCGTGTCAAATCTCGGTTGGTGCCAAAATCGCTCATTTTTTGGAAAAACAGCGTCGCGTTGATGTATGTGAAACTATGTTGTCTGACTATCAGGACCACTCGAAATGCATTATTACTGGAAACGAGACTTGGATTTACGCATACGACCCTGAAACCACCGACCAGTCCAGCGAATATCGTGCAAAAGCTGAAGGAAGACCGAAAAGACCACGGCAAAGTCGATCGAAAATCAAGGTCATGTTGACAGTTTTCTTTGATTATCGTTTTGTGGTACACTATGCATTCCTTCCGCCGAGCCACACTGTCAACAAATAATATTATTTGAGCGTTATGCGTCGTTTGCGTGAAGCTACTCGTCTGAAACGGGTGGAATTATGGGCGAACAACTCTTGATAATGCACCATGTCATACTGCATTGGCTCTTCGTGACTTTTTTTGCCAAAACCTCATCTCAGATCGTTCCGCAACTACCGTATTCGCTTGATTTGGCTCCGTGTGACTTCCGGCTATTCAGCAAACTCAAAAGGCCAATGCGGGGACGCTGTTTTGATACGAGTGAGGAGATAAAAACCGAATCGAAGACGGTCTTGAAGGCTATACCGGAAAAAGGCTATTCCGACTGTTTCGAGGACTGGGAAAAGCGTTGGCAAAAGTGCGTGTTATCGGACGGGGATTACTTTGAAGGGGAAGAAATTTACTTGGAAGCATAAATAAAGGATTTACATTTTATAAGCAATTTCACCTTACTTTTTGATCACATAGTACATCGAAAGGTAAGAAAAGAGAGATAGCCTGAAGTATTGCGACTTTAATCGAAACCACAAGTAATATTCGGCCTAATGTCCTACTGGTGCATCATGAGGCTTATGGATGACCAGCAATGAAAAAATCAATCACTGAATGTTGTCTACTTTCATGTGCATGAGAGGTAAATATATAGATTTTTAGTTTATCATGGACACTCAAGAACGCATACATACACTATAGAATTCCTCGTTATTTCCACGTGTATCAAGTTGTTAGTTAAACACAAAACGCTTTCACTATTGCCCTGCCCAACTCACTGCCAGCTTAGTTCCAAAGGAATGGTTACTGACCACTTTTACTATCAAACGCTCATTAAACATGAACTCTCAGCATGCGCTGGCTAGCATGGCGTGTGCTTATCATATCTCAGACGTTCACTTGCTCTTCTTATATCTTATGGCTGCATTCAATCACGCCGTAGCCGTACTCAAAGTCGTCCATAAAAGAAGCAACGCTAATAATTATTGCTGAAAGGTAACTTCTTGCGGGGGAAGTTTTTATGGAATCGCCGCCGCATCTTTCCAGCTGACGATATCTATTCCTTGGTTAATGAGCTCATTGTGTGTTCCGACACCGTCTTTTATGACGCTGTGATGGCAATAATAGATTCCCGTCTGAAAATAGTAAGGGAAAAGTCAAATATTATCCATGTAGCATATACCTAAGGTCAATTAAGTATGATACGAGCATTCTACAAAACCGCTTGAGTCTGGTACTATGCTGTGAAAAGTAGTTGATATACAGTATACAATGAGATCAGTGGCAAGAAGTTCCTTATTTGAAATGCCACGTCGATAACACGAAGATAGTCAACCATACATGGTGTTCGCGCGCCCAAAAAGGGATCTGAAAGACCAAAGCGCTTTGTATAAGACAGTAGCAAATTTAGAAATATACTTTGAAAATAGTTAAGCGTTCTGCTACCCTTCCCTTTTTGGCCCCTCTCTAATGCCCATTATAATTGGGTATCTTTCAGTGGAATACATTAATCAATGCCTGAAAACACCTAATTAAAATCGACGTTGAAGAGGGACCAAAAAGTTATTGAAGATCTTAGTGCCACCCATAGCTGTATCATAATACAGAAACAGAACCAAACTCTCCAGCTTTTCTCAAAGTGGATAAATTCATTTTTGTGTGGTTCTCCCCTCTCATATTACAGATAAAGCTAGGATCAGTGAGATCATTTTTTGGGCAACGGATTACTTTAAGCGGTTAAATATCTGATGAAAATGAGACATATTAATGTGTCAATCAAAGTAGCATACTGTGTGCAGAGGCGGACTAATGACATTTCAACAACCAATTTATTTGGCCGAACGCAGGATGTACGTTAATATTCTAGTATGCGCTCTGACTTTATTGGCATGTATTGAACTGCTCCATGGAATGGATGAAGGCACTGGCTAGTTCGTAAACCATCAATTCCGGTTCCTTACTATGTTAGTATTATCCATTTACTCACACTGATACAGTTTTCGCAGTAGGGCGTTGCGTAGTAGGACTCACCTGTAACAAGATAGAAATGGCGTCAAGTAAATTAACTCGCTATTTCCCGTATACGGGAAGACGCAAGACGAACGTTAGGGCTCAAATTCTATAAAACTTGTACTTGAGCAGTAACATAAAAGAATTTGTTCTGGAAAAATGCTTACCAATGAGAAATTAGGAAAGAATGATAACATCTCTTGAATATCGACCACATATACAGTGTGGCCGATATGTAATTGTCTGGCTTGTATCTTGAATATTTGTGGAATGAAATAAGATACGCCCATTCATTTCATCTTGATCTTTAATTGAAACTTAGAAATTATGTATGAAAAATAATGTCAGACAGATGTCCGCCTCTAGAAGCCGTGCAAACCCGACCCTCTTGACTACATTTTCCGTCACTTTTTGGTAGGTTTCGGGAGGAATATTTTCAGTCGCTTCAGTAATATTGTTCTTCTGCTGATCTACAGTATTTGGTTTATTGGCATATACCTTATTTTCAAGTATCTCCATAAAAAAGAAAGCCGTTAAATCCGGAGACCTTGGTGGCCAGTTAACATCACCAAATCGAGAAATTAAACGTCCCTGAAATATTGTTCGCAAAATATTCATTGTTTCCTTAGCTGTGTGACAAGTTGCTCCGTCCTGCTAGAATCACATGTTTTGCAGGTTAAATTGTTTGTTGATTTGACAGAAAGAGAATAACCTGCAGCGTCTTCAAAGAAGTAAGGTCCTATGACACCTCCATACCAAACACCGCGCCAAAGTGTGACTCTACAAGAATGTAGTGGTCGTTCATGGATGACACAAGGGTTTTCAATGCCCAGATACGACGATTCTGCTTATTAAAAAATCCGTCCATATCGGAGTGGGCTTCATCGCTCAGTATCACTTGTCGGCAAAAATCGGTATTTTGTGAATTAAGCTGGAATATTGCAAGACTGTATTGTCGGAGACTTTCATGGTCACTAGGCTGTAGTTCTTGGGTTAACTGAAATTAGTGTGGCCCAAGTGTAAGTTTTTTTTCAAATAGTGCATAATGACGTGCGACAAATACCCAGTTCTTGAGAATGATGTCTGATAGACAGCTCAGGGCGCTCCACTACACTTTCACTAACTCTCTCGATATTTTCCGGAGTACGAACAGTTAGAACACTTTGGCAAGTCTTTAACTTCACCTATTTGTTCAAATTTCTGCGCCAACTGGCGAATAGTGTTGACACTGGGCACACTATTTCGACGGAAATCTTGTCGCAGCGTCCGAATCGAATCATTATTTAAGTAAAATATTTGAACAATACAGATGCGTTTTGGGATCATGTAGCGATTCATGATGAATTGGACACATGTTCACTAAACAACTACTAGGGCGCTACCTACTAAGATGTGTGTATCAAAAATGGCGGGCAATCCAAATCAGTCAGTTATATATATTGGCCACCCTGTACAAGTATTGTCTTCTAAGTAGGGAATATTACTGGGTTGAGGAGGAACACAGGCGCGCTTAAATCCGGTGAATGCCGTAGTTTAATCTTGTTGAAACTACAGGTTTGAGTATTCCACTGCCACTGCTCTAGTTAGAGAACGTTGAGGCATACTTCGATTTTGAGCGATACCAACGGACACTTGATCTTTTTGTATACTCTTAAAAAATAGTTCCACCCGTTGGTACTGTTCATCATCTTTTATTCATGCAAAGGTTCAGTACTAGCCGTTGCTGCTAGAAATTTGGGATATAAGGGCTTACTCTTAGCAGTAAGTATCTCCAGGTTCTAAATTGAAGTACTGACGACATGTATGCTGAGGTAGAGCAACAGACAATATACAGGGTGACTTTGAAGTTGAGTCATTAATTTTCAGATAATGATTGTAGAAGGAATATAAACCAAAATATGTGTGTAAAAATAAAAAAAAAATAAAAAAAATTTTTTACCTTGTTTTATAAAGTATCCTCCCGACAAGTATTTCAGTGCGGACCTGTATTTGATCGTGAGGTCCCCTGTGAGGTCTTAAGTCACCTGATTCACGAGCCCGTTGTACTACATTAACAAAGGCACGAGGGGTTGGTTGCACTCGATTGGGAAACCGATCCGCATAAACATGTGCCATTTTTTATTTCGTTTGAGCCACGCAACAGATACAACTATTCACTGACACTGACTGTATACAAATGAATGAAATAATTCGTTCCAAATTCTTTCGCTTTTTTGTTTCCGATGCGATGAACCGATACGACGGATTATATCCGTTGTCGCCAAACACGAGCACATTGAGACAGGGCGGTACTCAAACTTCCAAAGGGCTATAACTTTGTTACTTTAATTTTACCAGAAAAATGGTAAAGGAAAAAAACATTTCTTTTGATCAGATCTACTCACTGTTAAAATAAATGACTCAACTTCGAAGTCACCCTGTATAATACGGGACATTATTCAGCACTGCTACATCAGTGTTGTAAGATAACACAAAAGCTGCATTTGTGTACTGAAATAATCAGTTGGAAGAGACAAGGAGAAAATTATAAACGAATCTGGAATTCAAGTTTTAATGTTTTGTAGAAAAAACTGTTTGGATCGCACAAATGGCATGCAAAAACAAAATTTGACATTGTTTCGAGTGTTGTCAACAATAGTCCGCCCTCCACTTCCAATACAGCAATTTTCAAGTATTGTCGGTAATACCCACGACCGTGAGGTGGTGGTAAATACTTTAAAATTAATACTTACAGATCAAAGTAATCCCGGTAGGCAGCTTAGAAATATCTTTATTAGTCGTCATCTCGCACATCATTACTGATAAGTTGAAAGGTCTCCCAAATTAACATTTTAGTTCCCAGATGTTATCTTTACTGTACAGCATTATCGTATCTTGGACGTTTACGATTATTATATTTCTAATGGATGGAAAATCTTAGATAAATATAGTAGTAGGTACAGAAATACAGTACTTATTTAACTATGAATAAGATGTGATGAGGTGATAATCACAACCATTATGCAATACTCTCTTTATGGAAAATCTATATTTTTGCTTCCTTTCATTAAAATAATTGAAGCAGTTAGCAATCGGAAAGCATAATTAACTATCCAAAAAATAAAAATAAGAGGTTTGAATGTATCTAAATTAACTTATCATTTTGTTAAATATGTAGAAAGATGGTGCTCCTCACACATTGGTATAGGAAAGTTGATACTTCTTAGCAATTGATTACCATTAATACGATCACACACCAGTGAGCATTTGACCATTATATTATTATGTATATATGCCTGGGGATTGACCATTCAAGTGTAGAGAAGCTATCACACGCTTGACTAGATTTATAAGCCGCATAGAGTAATATAATTGTAATATAGAAAAGCATCCTGTTTGCACAGAGCTGGAATGAGTGAATCTATATGCAGACACCAGCGGTGAGACTCAAATTTGGCTGACGTCGTAATGTGTACGAGAGAGAAACGCGATAAGCATTCTATATGTATGTTTGAAAGAGCAAGAAGCACCTCGTTGCTGAGCAACCCGAGTGCGAGGTCTCGGAAGCGATAGGTGCACTGTTTCTTACATATCGCGCTTCTCTTTTGTACATATTACGATGTCAGTGGTATTTGGTTTTCAGTGTATATGTTAACCTACTATCCTACTACAAGTTCGAGCACAATATGCAAAATAAGCGTGTTGATCGTAATCAACTACTAATTTAATAATACATTTAATTTGTGATCACGAAAATTCAGCCCACTTATCTGCAAGGTCAAGGTTCGGCTTGAAATTCTTAGCATATATGTTATTATCTCAAATGTTTTCCCGTAGCTGCTGTTCATGATGATTATGTTTTAACAGATAGTTTCAGAGATCAGAAATGATAAACTTTTAACCAGAAATATTGTACTAGTTATGGTTTCAAGAATCCCATGAGATAACAGCAGAAATTTTGTAGTGATAGAATGAGAATTAACATTTTTATGTAGAGCTGCTTTTGTCTTTCAGGTGCGTACGTTTTGTGACGTATCATTGAAGTCACCAACTATAGACGGATATGAAGCTATTCGTAAAAAATTTCAAACAGTGATATAGCACAGGACAGCTGTTTAACAAGCTGTTTTGCGATCCACCCAACAAG